TATTTTAATATCTTCTTTTATCAAAGACTTAAAGTAGTTAAAACTGAACACTGTGGATCAATACGCCTTATTAAATAATTTGGAATGTTCAGGCACAATTAAAATAAGTACCAAATCTATTTATTGATTTTAATGATATATTGAATAAAAAACCAATAGTGTAATAGTTTAAGCCRTTGCTTTATAGTATTATTTATTATAAGAAAATATAAATTAAATATAAAAKACGATACAAAAAGTATCGAACATAATAGAAAATTGTATTATTTCCTAATTTCCTATACGGATGTGTAGAATTGCTGATTAYACCGATTATTTATGTCTAATGTGKAAACAATACAAGAATCGCTTAGTCATAGCCTAGTRTGTACATAGTATAATATAATAGGTATACWTACTATATTTTATACAGTATAATGTTATTACTGTGAATTGCTTTTTTTCAGCGTTAAATGTTAATAGTTTCCGAAAAACTGGTAGAGAATTAAATTTTATAATTTATTGAAAGTCGTTCATATTATTACTGTGCAAAATATCACTGACGAATAGAACTATAATAAAAATAGACAGTTGTWAGTAAGTTTATTGTTCTAATTACATATATGTTTAATGAATGTYACTGTGCGTCTGTTAAGCATGATCGGAATACGAAGTAAATGTTTTTGAATAGGTACCTACAGGCTACAACAATATGATATTTTCACAATGTGCAGCAAAAMCCGTTGAGAGAATAAGAAACAGAAATAGTGAATTCTAAAAATTTTTAATTCAAATGCTCTTGAAGTAAACCATATCTGATAATAACCACTTGTTTCTATATATTATTATAAGGTTCTAACGAGCCAACGAGGGATAAAATGACTAAAACAGAGTTCAATAACAAAAATCCGGTAAAACACGATTGCGTACGGTATTTATCGACACACGCAATCGTGAACATTTAATGTTCACGATTGCGTACGATTTTTAACTGCAGCTTTGAAGCACTGTTGCCATTTGCTTTGAACTTATAGAACAGGGGTTACTTCCATAATTTTTTTTTTTATTATTATTGAATAACTAATTATTAAGAAACATATAGAGCGCGTGGCCCTAAAAATAAATTCTAATATGATCGACTGTTTAGCCATCCAATTATTCTATAATAWAGAACATAAAATTTAAAATTAATTGATATTTGATAGGCGATAACGAAATCGGTTATTTTACTAGGATATTTTAGGATGCTCGCACTCAATAAAATATTATGTATACTGCAGTATACCTATCATCATTTAATAACTCAGTGAATAACCGTCGTTGGATTATCAATCTCCTAGCGTGTTTCGTGTTTTTCGAGTGAAATATGGAAAATAAAGTTAATTTTATAACTTCTGAAAAGGGTAAACCACTAGTTTTACTAAATCTGCATAAATATCGGTTTATTAGAGAAAGAAAATACGGAATGAAAAAATGGTTGTGTACAAAAAAARCATGTTATGCGAGTATTTTGACAAATGGAGAGTATGTCCATGAAACAATTAATGAACACAACCACACTGAAAATTCACAGCAGAGCATTGAACGACAAGT